GAACTCATTCCAGAACAACAGGGGAAAACCAGTTTCTCTTCTTTACCACCTTCCTTTTGGCCCTCTCCAAGTGTCTTCCAAGATGAAGCAACCTGTGAGTTGGCAGCTGTTATTTCTGATCTTTCCTGAAGATTACAGACACCAGCCCTTAAACTGCCTCCCTGCAGAGTTCACTCAGGCCATATGACCAGGTCAGCAGTACTTCCCTTTTTTTTCAGGGACCTTATTTTTTTTGGCTTCACCCTACATCAATATACGATGCTACCTTCTTTCTCAGATTTTGTTATGCAACCACCAAAGTGCCCTGGACAAGTGAAGACTGGCTCCTGAGAAAGAAAGCTTTGTAATGGGGGGGGAGAGAGATGGCCATTCTTTATGCAATACTTGTCATGTTTACAATTTCTGCTATAATCTCTCCTGCAGAATGAGAACCTGCAGACCCTTAACTCCCAAGACAGCCAATACACTCAAGGGTTAGACAACTGGAAATATGGCCATCCCATTTTCAAAGGTGATCCTAAAGGGTGGGTGTTCTTCAGTGGTGGGATTCAAATAGGTGAACAACCAGTTCTATGTGTGGATGCCACTTCTGGAAGTCCATTCTGGGCCTGGGCAACAAAAAAATTAGCTACCGGTTCTGCCAAACTGGTGCGAACTGGCTGAATCCCACCACTGGTGTTCTTCCATTTCAAATGAAGCTGTGGGAATTTCCCTCTACCAACTCCACCCTGTACTAAAAGGCAGTTAAATCTCAGCACCAGCAGAAACATTTTTAAATGGAGCTGAAAGATCAGAAGTTGATGTTTAACATCAAATTTGGTCAAAAATAGAGGACAGTAAATCAAACTCAACATTACAAGAACTTGAAATATGACTAATATATTGAAAGCTAAGACTATAAATTAGAAACAGAAAGGCAAATATTTATCTACTATTGTACTTTCACAATTGAACATTAGAGGTCGAGAAAGGTTTTTTTTTAATGCTCAGTGTTAACATCAGGATATCCACAATGTATGGTCAAAAAAATAAAAATGGTGGCTGCAACAGCACTGCACATAAACAGGCAGAGCTTTTGATGGCATCAATGTGGCCACTTGTTTGACTTTTTTTATTGTACCCGGCAGACACTTACTTAATACACAGTTTTGTTACTATCCACAAAATAGTGCAATCTAAAGTGCTACTCCTCAGGGTGCAACTGACTTCAGGATGCCTTTTTCCAGGTTACTCCACTCCTGGTTTTCTGTTCCATCTTTCCAAACATCAGCCAGCTTTCATCTATCTATCTATCTATCTATCTATCTATCTATCTATTTGATTCTTACCTCCATGGACCATTTTATATTCTCCCCACCCCCTTAGGTCTTCTTTAATAATTTGGGGTAAAATGATACTTCAAACTTCTACAGTTTCCCCAAAACTTGTTTTTGCAGGCAAACGTATCTTTGAAGAATGGGATTTTCCCCAGAAAAAAAAAAACAAAACAGGAACCATAAAACTTTACAAATTAAAAAAAAATAATGTGAAAAAGTTAGACTCCCTTTCTTTCTTTCTCAATCAGAATAGAGCTGGAAGAGGCCTTCAAGGTCTTCTTGTCCAACCCCCTGCTCAAGCAGGAGACCTAAAACAACCCTGCCCACCCAGACACAAAGGAGGGTCTCTCTAAGTTGCCAAAGAGATATGTAATATTTTTTCTGTAAATACTGAGAGTCTTTCTGAAGCCTTTCTTCCAGGGATCAGCTCTAATATCAAGGTCCTGGCTGAGGAAAAAGTGTCTGTCTAAAGGAAACACATGTTGGGAAAAGGGGCTTGCACTACTCAACCCACCACCATTACCACCCCACCCTCCAGACAATCCTTTTTATTCCAGAATCCTGATTGCTTGCTATTTTGCTTCTGCAGGATGGAGGCAGCTCTTTGCTCCATTCATTGGACTCTGTAAAGCGACGAGTGATGTTTCACCTGCATCAACCATGCAGGTGAAACATGGATAAGAGCCAGTTTGGGGTAGTGGTTAGGGTGCTGTCCTAGAAACCAAGGGACTAAGTTCTATTCTCATCTTAGACATGAAAGCCAGCTGCATAACTTTGGGCCATCACCAAGAAACTGTGAATTCTAGTCCCACCTTAGGCATGAATGCCAGCTGGGTAACCTTGAGATAATCATTCTCTCTCAGTCCAACCCACCTCACAGTCTTCTTATAGTGGGTAAAATAGAAGGAAGGAATATTAGGTGCCTTGAGTTACTTATAAAGTAATAAAAATGGAATAAAAATCAAATAAATAAATATACTTCCAAATAACAAGGAGAAACCACTTAGGCAAATGTTCTTAAATATTTCTCTTTTTTGCACATCAGTCTCAAACTTACCTAAGACTGAACACTGGCCTTTCCCAGTTTCTGAGGTCAAAAGAGCTCAGTTCTCTAGTCCAAAGGAGACTAAGATCCATTTATATCTCTGACTGATCCCAAATTACCAGAAGGGTTGGTTTTCATTGGAAGACATCTATTTAGGAAAGGGGTCTTCAAACTCGGCCCTTTTATGACTTGTGGACTTCAACTCCCAGAATTCCTCAGCCAGCTTGCTTGGCTGAGGAATTCTGGGAGTTGAAGTCCACAAGTCATAAAAGGGCCGAGTTTGAAGACCCTTGGTTTAGCCTATAGCAGTGGTTCTCAACCTGTGGGTCGGGACCCCATTTGGGGTCGAATGACCATTTCACGGGGGTCGCCAAACAAGGCTGTCCGCCATTTTTCCCCCTTTTCTTTGGCCACGCCCCTGGCACCCGGTGATGTATAAGTGGTTGGGGGTCACCACAACATGGGGAACTATATTATGGGGTCGCGGCATTAGAAAGGTTGAGAACCACTGGCCTATAGGATCTTGTATCTTCACCGACAGCTAAAAGCTGGTGGTAGGCTTATAATTATTTTAACAAGCTTAATGCAAAGTCTGCTAATTATCAGAGCAAGATATCCTGATATAACTTAGAGAATCCTTCAAAGAAGGGCTTGAAGGCAAAATTATTAGGTGACCAGAGTTTTTGCCTGTTATTGCACTGGTAACAATAACATAATCTTGAGCATCATTCTGGATAATGGATCCACGTGCTAGCAGTTTCTCTTGTCCATCTTTCCCACCTGCATCATTTGTTTTTCTTTTTTCTTTTTGCCAAGTTAAGGGAACATTGGAAATTCACCCTCATAAGACCTCAATGCCCTGTTGTCTTCTCTTCACTTCTAAATTTGCCTATACAAAGTAGACTGCTTGCACAATAAAGATTTCATCTGGAAGTACATCCCAGGTTAAAAGGGGTGATTTCAAAATAAATAAATAGTAGGATTGCTTTCTTTAAAGAAAAAAAACCCATGCATTTTTCTTCTGTGTAAATAAAAGAACCGCAAAAGATGCAACCTTTGTATGAGTCAGGTTCATGTTAAGTATAGGGATCTAATTGGGGATCTAACATTTCCACATCTTTAACCAATGTTTGGATTTCTAGACAAGTTTTCCTGTCCTCCTATGACCTTTATTGTTATGTAGGAAGGCTGATCACTGAAATGTGTTCCTTAAATTCATGAAGGCCATATAAAGAATGAGGCTGCCAGATTGGGAGTGGAAATATCTAGAGCAGTGGTTCTCAACCTCTTTAATGCTGCGACCCCCAACCGGTCGTAAGTCGAGGACTACTCAACCGGTCGTAAGTCAAGGACTACTCAACTGGTGCAGCACCATTTGCAGAATGGGACTTTTGGCGGGCTCAGCAGGGCAGAGACAGCCTGGACAATTCCTATTGGCTTTTGAAAGCCAATACAATTAAACTCTATTCAAGAGAGTCTATTCTATTGGCTTTCAAAAGCGAATAGAATAAAAGGGAGTAGCACAGCTAAGGTAAAGGGAAAAAAAATGGCGGACTGCGTTGTTTGGTGACCCCCATGAAATGGTCGTTCGACCCCAAATGGGGTCCCGACCCACAGGTTGAGAACCACTGATCTAGAGGACCATTAATGGCAGAAATTCATTCATGGCCGCCATCTTGTTTTGATCTGGATTTTGGCAGCTCTAATCTAATAACCTTAGGATATAATCAAGTTGGTTCCTGACTTGCACCTGCCAGATCTTCCCCACCATTTCATTCATAAATAAATAAGTCACTGATTTTCCTGCCAACAAGCTTTCCCTTTTATCTTACAAGGCTTGAACCACTTGTACAAACATGCTTTTTGAATTCTTCCACATATTAAAAACAAAACAAAAACAACAATCCAGCTCACAAGGTGAGACGTTTTAGGCTTTGCCGATCTCTGTAGTGATCGAAAGCTGAGGCCCTAGCACTGGTTTTGGAACTTCTGGGCCAGTATACTTTGACTGGTTGTCCATTCTGCTCCTAAGAAGATGCTCCAGGTACCTTTAGATTAAGGTAAGTCATGAAAACACCATTTCTTCATTGCTGCCCCAACAATCTTCTTCTAAAATCTTGCTGGCTTTCACATAGACATCTTCCATAAAGCTATTAAAACATGGCTGTTCTGACAAGCTTTGGGAGAGTAATATCCCACCTTTGCCCACGTCATTTAGGAAGCATGCTATCATAATTTTCTATTGTTTTATGTGAGACTTTATAGGCTTGTTGTTTTATTACAGTACTTGGTTTGTGGCTGTGCAATGATGAATATGCAGGGAATAGAAAACGAATGAATAAATCCTGAGGAGTTTTGTTCAAAATACTGTGCAACACTGGCTGCATTTTTAACATTTTAATTTTGTTTAATCAAAATTGTATATTACATATAAGACTTCTTCTTGAAGATTTATAATCTGAAATGTGTGTGTTTGGAGAAGTATGAATGTTTGAAACAATTCACCCATTTAATTCTGCTGCATGTGGAGATAATCCATTGGAGTGGGCTAAAAATATTATTCCCTTTCAGTAGCAAAGGAAAAAGTATACAAGATACAACTGAGTGATGAAATCGTTATTTCATCTTGTATTCTTTAGCTATGAAGATAGAGCAGCGCTTTGGCCTGGAGGTGAAGATGCTTGTCTCCCACTTGGAAGGTTGAGAGTTCAATCCTGGGCAGCGACAGATGTTTCTCTATCAGGGCGCAAAGAGAAAATAACTGCTGTGAACTCCACATAGGCATCAGGAAGGGCATTCGGCTGGTAAATGCTCAGCTTCACTCAGTTGCCCCGACTCCATCCCGATAGAAGGTATTGTAGGGTTGTAAAAAGAAAAAAAAAATCTTTGTATGAAGGCACTATTTTAAAAGGCTCTTCTATTTGTAATGTTTTATATATAAAGAACAGAAAGCAGTATGTGAATCATTGTATAGACATAATGGAAGCAAGGACAATTTGCAAAGATGGAACATAGATCTAGAGAGGCACCATGAAGAGTGTTGAAGAAAATGTGTTTATATACTATTTCCTTTCTTTTATAACTTTAATTTTTTATTGGTTTCTTTTTTTTTTATTTTATTTTGTATGTATGTGTAATGTTGCTTGCCTGAAAAGGAATTGTTATGATGTGTGTGATACACATAAGTTCTATAGCAGGTGTTTTGGGAAGGTACCAGTCTATAATGTCTTCACTTTCCACCTATAGGAAGTGGTAGGTTACAGAAAGGAACAACCTGAAACATGGTTTTCTAATTTACGGGGTTAAGAAACTTATCAGGGAAAAATATTCAGCATAAAGTCTACACTGCTTTCTGACTTGTTACTGTAATTCATGTAGACGGTAGAGAGCATTTATTTCTGTGTGGACATTCATGTGAAAATTTTCTTTAATAAAGTATCCAGCTTTTCAATAACGAGTGGTAACTTTTCCTTAGAGTTTTTTTTGAACACTGTAGGCAAATGTATATGGTTAGACAATTAATATGATTTTTTCTGCATTTTAAGACATCCAGTGACAAGACAATGGGAACAAAATGCCTTTTGTTCAGACCAAACTATTCCTAATGATCTCCTGTGCCAGCAGCACCACTAATTCACAAGGTCTTGCACTAAGTCCCTTTCAAAAGGCCAAACAGAGCAGAACACGAAGCAGAAACTCTCAGAGTTGCTAGCTCTTTACACCATGTTGGTGGTCTCATAAACTGGGTGTGGAGAAATAGGTTCCAAAAACCAAGAGCAAAAGGGAGGAAATATATATCATCCTATAAGTAATTTTACCCTGGGGTCTTCATTTCATTTCTAAATAAAAGACTACAAGTAAAGGCGTGTGGGATTTAATGGAAATCATCACATGCGAAACAGGGGTGAAAGAGCTTTCTCAAACCCTGGAGATCCAGATAGGTGATTCTCCAATGACATGGTGGCAGTGGTACCTGCATTACAAAATTTAAGGACACCAAAAGTTGTCGTTTCAGCACATACGGATGGCATTTAGTAAAGAAAGACTGTCTTGGTATGTTTTGTATGAGCAATGTGCCAGAGAGGGAATATGGTCTTGGGTTTGTCATCAGAAAGCATGTTGTGTAGAACAAGGGTCCCCAATCCTCAGGCCAGTACCGGGCTGTGGCATGCCAGCAACTGGTCCACACAAACAAGCAAAGCCTCATTCGCGGGATGCAGGCAGCACACAAAACCACACCCCCTCCGGTCCATTGAAAAACCTCTCTCCACGGAACCGGTCCCTGTGCCCAAAAGGTTGGGGACCTCTGGTGTAGAAAATGCAATAGATTCAAAAGTAGAGAACACAGGATGTGAGCGGCCTTTTTCTGTCAAGGACCTTTGCCTCGTATGGAAAAGGGGAATACATTAAGTTGGTAATTGTATAGAGTTAGTCCTCAACTTATGACAGTTTGTTTAGTGACCATTTGAAGTTACAACAGCAGTGATATATGACTGTTTTTCACACTTATGACCATTTTAGCATCCCCATGGTCACATGATCAAAATTTGGATGCTTGGCAATTGACTCGTATTTATGACGGTTGCAGTGTCCCAGGGTCATGTGATGCATCCATTTATATACATGTAAGGTTGTGAAGGAAGGAAATGCAGTAATATGTACAGGTAGTCCTCAACTTACAACAGTTTGTTTAGTGACCATTCAAAGGTACAACAGTGCTGAAAAAAGTGACTTATAATCATTTTTCACACTTATCACTGTAGCATCTCCTTGGTCACGTGATCAAAATTCAGATGTTTGGCAACTGGTATGTACTTATGACAGTTGCAGTGTCCCAGAATCATGTGATCCCCTTTTGTGATCTTCTGACAAGCAAAGTCAATGGGGAAGCCAGATTCAGTTAACAACTGTGTTACTAACTGAATAACTACAGTGATTCACTTAACAACTGTGGAAAGAAAGGTTGTAAAATGGGGCAAAAATCACTTGACAACTTTCTTCCCTAACATAAATTTTGGGTTCAATTGTGGTTGTAAGTTGAGGACTACCTGTACAATCCTTTATTATTTGTCTATGAAGTATAACAACTAGACTCTTTCATTCTCTCCTTCTCTCTCTCTCTCTCTCTCTCTCTGTTCTGCGTTTCCAAGCAGGTGGCAGAAGATTGGATAGGAAGACTTATTACAGAGAATTAGACAGCTATAAGTACAAGACATTTTCCATCTACTATTATCCAGGAATCCTGACATTTACATCAAGTATTCCCAAGGTTTGAATCCTGAATATCTTCCTCCCATCTTTTTGAGTCAACAGCCTTGTGGCTATTCATTTCCCAAGCTTGAAATGACTCTAGTTTAAGAAGCAGAGATTCTCAGCTCACCAGCTTCAACACTTATAATTAATATTAAAACAAATAAAAAATCACTGCAAGGTCAAGGTAATTGTTTTACATTACAGGAGATTACAGGAGATTTTCTGCAGCACATGCTGTTTTACCTGGGAGCTAATATCTACAAAAAAAAGGGGGGGGGGATAGTCATTTTGGAATAGTGGAGGAGGGAGGTACATGCTTATCCTCTGACATAGTATGTCTCTCAAAGCAGAAAATGTGGGCAGGAGAGTGGTGGAACTGCTGCCAAAAGGTGCTAGATTATCCTTAAGTAGGAGTTCCAAACTTGTTGTTGTCCTCCATTTCTTCACAAAATGACCTTCAAGTGATACTAATAAAGGAGAATATTTGTAGCTCATAGTTGACACGAGGGGTCCTTGGTTGCTTGTTTTCTTGCAGACGTTTCATTACCCAGACTGGGTAACATCATCAGTGCTAGATTTCATAGACACATAGCATTCATGATGTTACCTAGTCTGGGTAATGAAATGTTTGCAAGAAAACGAGCAAGTTCAGAGAGCACCAAGGATACCTCACATTCAAGTGAGGAATGATAAAGTTTCTTGTAATCCTTTTTAGTCATGGCATACAACTGGCTGCTGTCCTTCCCAATTCTTCCCAAGACATACCTGAGAGGCCAGTTATTTATTTATTTAGCGTATAGCATATCATACATAGACTAGCAATATAAATTAACATTTCATCTTCATGCTGGGGTTTTTGGCTTCGTGCTTCTAGGAGCCTGAAGATGACGAATGAGACTTCGTCGAAACGTCTCCAAGACACTTCCAATTTGATGCTGGCTCAGGAATTCTGGGAGTTGAAGTCCACGAGTCATAAAAGAGCCAAGGTTGCCTACCCCTGGTCTAGGCTATCTAACCATTGAAGCACAGTATTGTTTATATTAAAAATAATCAGATACTGGAGCGGTATAGGCTCTGAGCTTACAATGTGTTCAATGTGTTTGAGGTGGGACCCCTGCAGTCACACTGAGGGGAGGATACTATGCCCTATTTATACAGAGAATCCTGACAGATGCCATGGGACAGTGATAGCAAGCCTTTTAGAGACCGAGTGCCCAAACTGCAACCCAAAACCCACTTATGCATCATCAGGTGCCGGTGTGTGTGGCCCATTGGGTGGGCATGGCTGCAGTGGTAACAGCAGACTGGGTGGGACTAAAAAGTTCAATCAATCAATTCCAACTTTGCAAAATCTTATTTTTCCCACAAGAAGTTGAAATTGACTGATTGATTGAACCTTTTTTTTTTGCACACGGCGGCGGAGGCCTAAAGCGAAAAGGTTTTATGAAACCCAGCTGAAGGCCTAGGACTGGAGTGACGGTGCGTGTGCCCACAGAGAGGGCTCTGCGTGCCGCCTCTGGCACCTGTGCCATAGGATCGCCACTACTGCCATGGGAGGTGCGAATCCTGTCAGGATTCTCCATTGCTGATTTGGCAGTTCAAAGCCTGCCACCTTTCTTGTGGGCTCATGTATATGTTTTCCTATCACTGGGCATTCAGCCATCCATTTGGCTTTCCGTTGGAAATCAATGTTAATGTTGTTGGGCAGATGTTGTTCAAGTGCCAGTAGGGATTTCCTGGATTTGACCCTTCATGCTGATAAATGAGAGTCCAGTGAAATTAAGCGAAGGATATATAGCAACCACTGGATTAGAGGAAGAGGAATGAAATGGGAACCAGTGCTTGGGTGTAGATGGCCTTAGAAAACTACAGGAAAATAGTTGCCTACATAGATCTCAATCTTAGACTTTTTAACTTCTGTCAAATCCAAGCTTTCTGATGACCTGAATTCATGCCCATTTTTCTGTAGAAAGTTAGTACCTCTCAGAGAAACAGATATTTATGTAATAGAGGGATTACAAAGCTGATGAATAACTTTCATTTAACCCCCATTCTTTGTTTGATGGTATAGAACAGTAGTTCTCAACCTTCCTAATGCCGTGACCCTTTAATACAGTTCTTCATGTTGTGGTGACTCCTAACCCCCCATCCAGCTGGCCAGGGGGTATCAAAAACTTGACCAAAAAAAAGAGGAAAAAATGGGAAAGTATAGGTAGTCCTCGCCTTACAACAATTCGCTTAGTGACTGTTTGAAGTTACAACAGCACTGAAAAAGCAAATTATGATCATTTTTCACACTTATGATTGTTGCAGCATCCCCAGGGTCATGTGATTTACATTCGGATGCTTGACAACTGATTCATACTTATGACGTTCACAGTGTCCCAGGGTCACGTGATCAATGGCCAGGGGGCGTGGTCAGCTGATCACTCAGGTTGCAGAGTGCCTGTGGGGGGGAATCTGTGGGTCTCTGGGATGGGTCTGGGGTGGGTGCTTGTCTTTCCTCCCTTCTCTCCCCTTGTCCCTTCCTTCCTTCTTTTCTTTCTTTCCTTCACCTCCCTCTTAGTCTCTTCCTCCTTCCCTCCCTCTCCCATTGTCCCTTCCTTCCTTCTTTTCTTCCTTTCCTTCACCTCCCTTAGTCTCTTCCGCCTTCCCTCCCTCTTTCCCATTCTTCTTCCTTCTTTCCTTCCTTTCTTTCACCTCCCTCTTAGTTCGTTCCTTCCTTCGTTCCTTCCTTCCCTCTTTGTCTCTTCCTTCCTTCCCTCCCTTCCATTGTTCCTTCCTTCCTTCCCTCTCTCATTGTCCCTTACTCCCTCCCTCTTCGTCCCTTCCTTCCTCCCCCCCTCCGCGCCCAGGAAGGGACAAGAGGAGGGGGACAGGCTGCCAGAGGCAAAGGAGAGCTCCACCCAGCTCACTTGCTCAGTTTTACCAAAAAACAAGCCGCTTGCTAAGTTAGCAGAAGCCCCAGGATCAGCGCCGGGCTACAGCTGATTCACACTTCTGCTAAATTAGCAAGCGACATGTTTTCTAGCAAAGCTCGAGTAAGTTTGCTGGGCAGGTGCCAAGGAGAGCTGCTACAGCTGACCTGCTGCTTGGCTGCTCTGCAAAAGTGCAGATCAGCTGTAGAGGTACGCCCCGATCCTGGACAAGAGGGAAGGACGGAAGGGACAAGGGGAAAGAGGGAGGGAAGGAGGGACAAAGAGGGAGGCAAAGGAAAGGAAGGAAGGAAGGAAGGAAGGAAGGAAGGAAGGAAGGAAGGAAGGAAGGAAGGAAGGGACAAGGGGAGAGAGGGAGGGAAGGAGGGACAAAGAGGGAAGCAAAGGAAAGGAAGGAAGGAAGGAAAGAAAGAAAGAAAGAAAGAAAGAAAGAAAGAAAGAAAGAAGGGACAATGGGAGAGGGAGGAAAAGAGGAAGAGACCAAGAGGGAGGGAAGGAAAGGAAGTTCCAGCCAGCAGAGGCTTGGCAGCCCAGCTGCCGAGAAACAGAAGAGTGCAAAGCCAAGGAAAAGAAAGTGGCGGTTTCCTCCCAAAGGGGCTCCTTTTCTCCACTCCTTCCCTGGGTTTGTGGGGAATTTCTTGTCACCAACACTGACAGGTGCTCCTTCAAGCCTGCCTCGAGCTTTCTTGCCCCCTTTGCTTCTCCCCCCTGCCCCCCCCGCTTTCGTGAGGATTGTGGCACCCTTGGGAAGCCGATCATGCTTTGAAGCTTAGGAGAGGAGGAGGAGTCCCTTCCTCCTTCCCTCCCTCTCTCCCTGTCAAGCCCCAGCGGGCTCAACATGAATGGGCGGAGGAGTCAAGGATGGACGGAGTGGCAAAGGAGACCGGCGGCCATCATCAGACAAGCGCAAGTTCTGGGATCACCAGCTGACAGGTGCAGAAGTTGGGTGCTGCGGCAGCCTCCCCTTCGCTGACCTGCGTGCATGAGAAGAAGTCAATCCGGTTGCTGCACAATGAGTCTCTGGGGAGGGCGGGGCCTTGCTCTGCGCCTGCGCTCTTCATGCGCCCCCTGCAGGGCACATTTGGTAGAGTTCATGCAGACTGCTGCCAAGCAGCATATTTTCCACAAACAAGTGAGGTGGCATGGGGGGGGAGGGAAAGAAGGCGGTTGACAAGCCCTGCCTAAGTATCAGAAATATGTGTTTTCCGATGGTCTTAGGCGACCCCTGTGAAAGGCTCGTGCGACCCCCAAAAGGGTCGCGACCCACAGGTTGAGAACCGCTGGTATAGAAGTTTCTGAATACTGAAAAGAGTGAGCTTGCAAAGAAAAGTAAAGAAAAAGGAAGCTTATACCTGAATGTCTTGCTTTTTTCAGTGATTAAGAGTTGATGATTGATTTAATGATAGGTTATATTCATTTGGATGGGTTTGAGAGTGGCATTGTTTTAAAGTGCCGTAGGAAAAATCTAACTTCTTCAGAAAAGAGTCAGGAACATTGTGAACATTGTGAAAATTTAATTTCTTCAGAAAAGAGTCAGGAACGTTGTAAACTCATGGGATCCAGTTGCTTGGTATAATCAGGTTTATATCAGGACACGAACTGACTCACTACACATTTTTTCTCACTGTGTGAATAATTTTTTTGAGATCTGATCTTTGCAATATGTCTTGCTTCAGATATTACAGTTTTACAGAGGGTTTAAAATGCCAGTAGCTTGTCTTGCATTCATATTGCAGCATGATGACTACAACTGGGTGAGATCATGCTGTGTCTGCAAATTATCTGTGCTAGAATGGACCTGTTAAGATGGGGTCATGTTTGAAATACTCCCAGCTTCTGTCTGTGGTTAATGTTACAGCTTAAGGAAGCAGCACAAGTCAGAACCACAGGATGATGGATATGTAAGTCAAGAGGACAGTCCCATCACAAGGATAAATCATGTGTAGGCAAGGTAGAAAATCATATAGAATGACAGACATTGGATTTCTGGGACAGTTTTTGGAGGGCTTTGCTTTGCTTTTGAGAATAAATAAGAACTAGAAAGTTGGGGGGGACACTAGGAACTGTGAATATTTAGGAACCACCCAGGATTAACCTGGAAGCATGTACCCCTATAGTCTCTCTTCATGAAAAACTGATTGTATAAAGCATCAGATTTTCAGTTCAGTCTTGAAAGGGTTGCTGCAACAGGAAGATCTGAAGATGATGCCTGAAGAATGGATAGAGCCTCTCTTCAGAAGAAAAAGT